CACAAATGTTTCTGCTGGTGATAACTGGGAGGGACTCCCTGCTGGTGGTCAGGCACCTGTGTCTTTAAATCAGTTCCTTTAATCTCAAGAGAGGGGGTTTTGTGGGGCAGGGGAGGTTGGCTTGCTCTTTGCAGCCTTTTTTCTGTTTCTCTTTGTTCTCTTTGCTTGTTGATAGAAGGCCAGAAAGCCATGGGACTTCAGGGCTGGGGAATAACCAGTTACATTGTCTTGCTGGGATGCTGAGGCAAGTTTTCTGTAATGGGAAGCAGCCCCGTTGTAATTCACCTGCCTGCCCCGATGCAGGAAGCTTCTCTTCAACCCTTTATTCAAGCTTAGCTTATGGTGTTACTTTTGTGTAAGTTCAGAACTTGTGGGTAAGTGATATGAGTAGCAGGAACAATCATTGACTGTGAAGGAAAGAATCTGGAATAGTTCAGTGCTAGCTGAATGGAAGTGGAGTTTGGTGAGCTGCCATGGGAGTTTGGCTGTACTTCCCTCTGGGACTGCAGTAGAAAGTCATTAATGCAGAACAAAAGGAAGCAGAGGGACTCCTGGTGCTCGCCCAGTCTGGCAGTTCCTTCTCTTCTCAGGAAGCCCTGTTGTGAGGTGATGCTGCACACGGTGATTTTTATGATGAAAAGGAGCAAAATGCAGACTTCAGTGAGTCAGAGCTGGTGCTGGCAGTGTGAGTGGGCCCTGCTGGGTTTGTAGTGCCACAGAATCACAGAATGGCCTGGGTTGGAAGGGACCTCAAGCATCGTGAATCTCCAACCTCCCTGCCACAGGCAGGGCCACCAGCTTCCACATTTAATACTGGACCAGGCTGCCCAGGGCCCCATCCAGCCTGGCCCTGAACACCTCCAGGGAGGGGGCAGAGGGTTTTTGCCCTCCTCTAGAATTGTACTGTGACAGCATAAACCTTCTCGTTGTCTTTAGTGGAGGGGCTGGTAACTGAAGTGAAAGTCCAGTGTCTGAAGGTAAGCAGCTAATTCCTAACAGTGCTCCTGGGGTCAGGGTTTCCCCCATAAAGAGCAACAGATGGAAAGGCTGTTTCTGTTCTGCTCCAGCTCCCAGCCCCCTAGTGTGGGGAGCAGCTGAGATAGAAGAGTTTGCAATGACACCAGTCTGAATCCTAAGGGATTATGCAGAAATGGTGCAGCCCCTTAGAGGGGACTGTTTAGTTAGAGGTGCATTTAGTTAGGTGACTTGTTGATCGGCAGTGTTTCTAGTTGAAAGCTGGAATAACAAAATACCCACTGTCCTTTTCTCTCTTCAGTGCCCCCTGCCTACATCTTCAGTCGGCTCAGTAGCTGCCCGATACCTGGAAGAGGAAGAACTGAGATCCCAGCACATCCTGGAATGCCTGGATGCTCACATAGAGGAACTGAAAAAAGAGAGTGAAAAGATAGTGAGACACTTTGGACACCAGGAATGACATTTCCTCAAGTGGACTCAGTTGGAGCACTGCTTTTCTTGCATGGTTTCAAACTGCAGCAGAGGGAGGTACCTGCACAGCAATTGCTGTTGGAGCTTGAGGAGCTGAGTCAGCAGGCTGGATGCTGGGAGGAACGTGTGCAGGAATGCCCTGCATCAGATCAGAAAGGAACTGTGCCCCCACCACGTGTTGGTCAGCTTCCAAGGGAGGGCTAGGAGGCTGTGGGAGAGATACGTGTTTGTGCACCCACCTGCAAAGACTTCATGGTGTTTTTAAAAGCGAAACGTTTGCTAAATTTAATGTAAAGTATTTTATGTGTATTTGATACATGTAAAAGCATTGAAATAAAGCAAAGAGGAAAAACATTCCTTTTCTTCTTCCTGCGAATTTACATAGTAAAGGTTTTGGCTCATTTTGCATTCCCATTGGGAACTTTGATGAACAATTTAGACAATTTTTCCATCCTTTCCCTCTAGTCATGTTCTTCAAGAAGCAAGAAATAGAATTCCTCTTCCTTTGGGCCACCCGCATTTTCCCCAGTTATTTTTCCCTTACTGGATTTTATTATTATTTCCTGGTTCATCTTCTGCTCTTTGCTGTTTGTATAATATCTGGCTTCTTTATCTTGCTTGTGTGCTGCTTGAAGTACTGCAAGATAACTGAGAAGTGAATAGCTGCATTCTGATTTTGGTTGCAGCTTCTACAAAAGAAAGAACGGTAGTTGGAAGTGACGATGAAATTGAATGGGAGAGGAGCACAGAAGTGAGTGAGATCCATCTGTCCAGCAGAGGTAATTGCAGCTGCCACGGGCTGCTATCAGCCTGTTGCAATCCAGGCTGTGCCTTGGATGCTGTCCAGTCAGGTTGAATTGCAGCACTGCAATACATCTAAGATCTGTTCCTTGAGTCCTTGCTCAACAAAATGAGTGAGAGAACTTGTTTGCTGTGGAGTTGCCTTGCTTCCAGAGAGGTGTACTGCAACTCTTCCCATAGCTGAGCCTTTACAACCTCTGCATGGACAAACGTAGGCATGGAAGCATCCCTCACTTTCCAGTTCTTTTCCATTGCGTTTGGCAGATGTGTTCAGCAAGGTGATGCCTGCAGGCAGGCTGGAGCCTTCCTGGCATGCCAAAACTGGGCCAGTGCCTTGCTGGGCAGTTCTGCATTCCAGAATTGGAAAGGTGGAGGACTTCTGAATCAACACGTCCTTTTATTTTGCTTTTCTTCTGCAGTTCTTTGAAGAAAGATGAAACCTTCAGATCCGTCCTGAGTTCTCTCTGTGCCATTTATACAGTGAGTCATTTACCTGCCCGCGTGGTCGTGTGTTTTACAAACAGCTTTGGCCTGGGTTCGTGCTCAGAGCTGCCCACAGGTTGGCGTTCCTGGAACATCCACAGCTCAGGTAAGGACTTGTTGGTCACGGGGTGTTTAGACAAAAACCGGGGTGAGCTGTAAAAGGTTGTTCTAAAGAGGACAGTTGGCTGCTGGGTTAGGGCCTGGCTCAGCTCCCATGTGTGTTGGCTGTGGGTTATCCATACTGCCAGACGTGCTGTCCTCATCTCTGCTGGGGAATGTGCGTTTCTGTCCCAAAGGGGAGGAGGCAGAGCTGTGTTTGTGCTGGGGGAAGGTGTCACCCCTTTCATCCAGGGGTGCCGTGTTCTGCAGGCGCTGCTCTGTGCCTTCATAGCATCATACAGCCCCTGTGATGAGCGCCAGCTGTATTGCTAATGAACACAGAGAAGGGTTTTTTTTTTTGCCTTTGAACTCGTGCTTCCAGTAGCACCAAAGAATCTCTTACCCATCTGAGATGAGATGTTGATGAGATGCTGAGCCAGATGTTTGCTTGGTGCTTGAAAGACAAAGGTGGCAATTTGGTTGTGGTAGTTCTCTTTGCAGCAGGGCAGTGTCTCTGAAGCTGCTGCAGGCTCTGCCTGCCTCCAGCTGCAGTTGTGGCTGTCAAAGTGCTTTTTGGTCACTTTTCCCTTTGAAATATTAAATGTTTGTGCCTACGTATGTGCGTGTTGCTGCAAGGTCTGAGCACTGCAGAGCTTTGCAGGAGAGGAGGGAATGCTCCCCAGGATGTCACCAGGCAGAGGACAACGGTGTGTAAGGAAATGTCCTCTCTGTTCCCTTTGTGCCCATGGCTGGCACCCAGTGCTCACTGGGGCAGTGCCAGAGGACTTCAAGCTCTCTATATGGTAGAGGAGATTGTGGCATATTGGGGGTCGTTCCCAGATAATAGCAATGTGATGAGAGGTGATGGCTTCAAGTTGTATCAGGGGAGGGTCATGTTGGATGTTAGGAAGAATTTAATCTCAGAAAGAGCAGTGAGGCACTGCACGGCTGTACTGGGAGGTGAGGCAGTCACCTGGAGGTGTTCAGAGCTGTGGAGATGTGGCACTGAGGGATGTAGGCATGGTGGGGTGGGCTGGGATTGGATTTGAGGATCTGAGGGGTCTTTTCCAACCTTAATGACTCTATGGTTCTATGTCTATGTATGGAGCTTCCTTGTCTCAAAGTATGAAAAACTCTCACCTGGTTGGTGGGGATGGGGGAAGTACTGGGATAACCCACAAGTTTTACGTGCAGAATGCTGCATCTCTGTGAGGAGGAGTTTGTATCATCTGATCAACGAAACAGAATGCAAAACCAGAACAGATTTATTGTAAATCCAAGAGCAAACACAATGTCCGTCAGGTCACGCTAACATCAGAGGTGTATGAAGATGCTGGTCTTACAGGGTGTGTTGGTGAGCTCCAGTATCAGCCAGCTGTATGCACTATGGTTCTCCAGGGGGAGGTTATAGGATGTGCTATACGTGGTGATATACCATTGCTCAGCCTCACACAGCCCCCTGAGCTCAGCAGTTCTGCACAGGCAAATAGGAGGAAGGAAAGATTATCAAGAGCTTTATTCTCCATTCTGCTGTATTTAAAACAAACACCTCTATGCTTGAGATACAATTACAGTGCTAATATTACAGGAGAAAAAAAAAAAAAAAAAGTGCTTACAATTCAAATACTCTAATATAAAAAGGTAAAAATTATTTTGTTTATTGAATTTAAGATTCGGTGTAGGAAGTCATTTCGCAGTATCACTAAAATGCGTAAGACAATGAAGTGCACAAGAAAACGTCGCTTTATATCTCCTTCCCAACACTTCTCTCTCCTGGGATGTCTAAAGAAACCTGGTTTAAATAACCTGAAATTCCCCGTATCCTGTAGTGCTGCTCAGAACCAGAGGGTGCTACTCTAAGTAGTCATAATAAGACTTCTCTTATGGTCCGTAGTTTAGAAAGCAGCCGTCGCTGCTGAAGGCCCAAGGCCAGTTGGCCATTGGTTTCTCCAAAGCGTTGCCTGGGCAGTGCTACTGAAACTCGGGTGGAGGGGGGGGTTGATCCCTTTGTAATGGGATTTTCTGTCTCTGTGCTCCTCTGAGCCCTTGGTCTTGCAGGAGGACGCCAAAGGAACAACTTTGCTTGGGAGAACAAACGATCTCCTACAGCTGTATTGGGTTGGGGTGCGTTGGGTGGTGGTGCAGGAGAGTCGGGGAACGAAGAGGAGGCGTTACTGCGTCTCAACGTCGTACTTGAGGATATGTGAGTAGTAGCCGTGGTTGGCGTTCTCGTGCACCATGACGAAGAGCTCCGTGCACCCCGCGGTGTTGCAGGTTCCCTCCCAGAAGCCGTCTCTGCTCAGGGTCAGTGTGTAGGTGTCCCCCGCCTGCACCAGCACCTTGGATATGCCCTGCATTTTGAGCTTGAACTGCACGTTGCGGTTGGCTGGCAGCAGCCTGGAGAGTGGTTCCAGCAGTTCGTAGCCCTCTGCCCATTTGCTGTACCTCAGTGGGAAGGCGGGCCACTTCACCTCGGTGTTCAGGCAGGTGATGAGGTAGTTGAAGACGAAGGTGTAACTGCCGGGATCTGACTTCTTCTTGGTGAAAAACTTCAGAACAAAGCTCCCCGCGTGGGGCAGGTGGACCTTAAACTCCACTTGGTTGCCGCGGTGGATTTGCATGATGTGCTGCCTGCTCATCTCCTCGCTCAGGCTGCTGCTGTCGGCGTGCAGCGAGGCCAGGATGCTGATGTCCTTCCCCATGGTGAAGGTGAGGGAGCAGCGCCCGTCGTTGGTGTGAATGATGGGGTCGGGGTGCGAGGGCCGCAGGAAGCCCTGTTTCTCCGTGAACCAGCTGGGCCCCACGGGCTGGTGCAGGTCCTTTGGGAAGCGCCTGCTCTTGTCCACGGACTTGCACTCCACGATGTACTCCAGCACGCAGGTGTAGACGTCTTCTGTGGATTTGGAGGGTCTGGCAAAGATCTGCAGCTCCTGACGTCCCGTCTTCTGGGGGTAGATCTCCAGCTTCATCCCCTGCTTCCGCAAGGTCAGCAAGCCGTGTTCGTCTGTTCCCTCCAGCTTAAAGGTGAATAACGTGGAAGGGCGGCACTCCACTGATATGGTGGCTGTTCCATTTTCTGTGAAATGCGTAAGAAAAGAAACCACGTTGGAGTTTTAGTGCACTTTTTGTACATATGGAAAATGAACCTACCCCAACTGATTGCCACTGCCCTACAGAGCTGCAGCTGTCTGCAGAAATCAGTGCCCCTCAGAAAGAACAAGGTCCAAGTGGCCTTGGCTTGCAAACCTGCATTGATCCTGTAGAACATAAACTGAAATGGAGTTGTGCTCCTGTAGAATATAAACTGAAAGTGTGTCCCTGTGGAATATGAAAGCCTGTGTGCAGTACAAGTGCCAGCAGCCTGCGCGCTCGAAGAGGGCTCACTTTGATGGGCTCAGGCTGATTTCAGCCCAGCAGCTGCCCCAAGAAGAAAGGCACACAGACATGAGATCCTCTGCTGCCCTATGAACCTGTTCACAGCACGCTGGAGGACATGAAACCCTTCAGTGCTGTTGTCTTTCAGTTTTAACTCTGTGTTCTTTGCATTCATGGCAAACAGCTATCCAGCTCAATTCCTGCAGCCTTCTAAGGAGTTGGGGAGGGTGAGCCCAAATTTAGGGTTCCCTGCCTGTCAGAGCTGCAGGGTGCACTCAAGGTGCTGAGTATGACATAAAGAAGAGCCTTGCTATGCACTGTTCTGTAAATCAAACTTTTGGAACCCAGCAAAAGGCTTTAATCTCATTGTCAGGTGATATTTACTAATAGATGAACAGCAACGCTTCTAATCTTGCACTGTGGGTACTGACAAGGGGGTTACCTGTCTGGATGAGGGCTGTCTGTGGGTGTGCATCCAGCAGCCCCAGCTTGTAGAAGTCGCTGTTGTGCTGCAGGTTGCTCTCAAACTGCTTCAGCGTCAGCGTTGGTTTGAGGAGCTGCCAGTTGCTGTTATCTGGGAAGTGATTGTTCACGAAGAGAGCCGGGTGAGTCAGAAAGTAAAACTCGTTGTATCTGGAAGGAGGAGGAAGAGATGAAAGGAAAATGAGTAATGATAAGCAGTTATTTCTTCCGCCGTGCTGTGGTGGTGGTTTTGTGGGAGGAAGTCGGAGCGTTTTGGGCTGCTGAGGGCTGTGGGTTTGAAGATCTCCAAGGAGAGAAGGGACCGGAGCCTCCCATCTCCAAGGCAAAGTGCTGGAAAATGGCATCTCCAAGGCAAAATGCTTCTGGATAAAACCAAGGCGTTTGGCTGTCCCTGTGATGATAGGCTCCCAAGGAAGGAGGAAGGCCCTTCTTGGCATTGGAAAGTGAGGCACTTGCTGGGGCAGCTGAAAGTCAGGAATCCAGCACTTTGTTGCCTTGCTTAAATGTAGGCAAAGCACAAAAAATGGAAACAAAGAACAGCAGAGCACCTCTAGAAGCTGCTGAGCTTCTGCCTGCTTAGAAACGTGCTCCATCCCCTGCATGAGCAGCCCAAGTGCCTTCCTCAGGGCTTCAGCTCTTGCAGTGCCACGTGAAATTTACCACTGGTTTTCCCATGCCTGTTTGTTCACCTTTCTGGTAGGCCTTTGTGCTTAGACAGTGAATATTTCCTTACCTGAAGGTGAACTTGGTTGAGGTATCGTCCACAGTGCCGCTTCCCCAGGTGCTGTCCAGGAGATGCCACCTCCCATCGAGGTAGACGGCGTTCCAGGCATGGTCAGAATTCCCCTGGAAGGTCTGCCCAATCTTGTACCCGTAGCCCTTGGAGTACCCCGACAGCTTCATGCACTGGATCCCTGCAACGCTGAAAGGGAACAAGGATTTTGCTTTTCTTTCAGCCTTTGCATAGGCACAGGGGAGCATCCCACAGGACGCCTGTTTTGGAAAGTTGCCCCTCTGCCTGTTGCACCATGAGTTCAGAATGGCTGGTGGAGGAGGACGAAGACAGAGTGCCATGCTGCTCTCTGCCTTGTTCTGCTTTGATGCTCTCCACAATTAGCCTACGTAATTATAAATTAAAAGTGTGTTTGCTCGTGCTTGTGCTCTCTCTGGAGCAGGAGGCCCAGTGCTTGGCAGCAGGTTCAGCTTCAGACCTCGCAGTGCTGTGGGATCTGATTGCGTTTCCTTACCGTGTGGCCTTGTGCTTGCCCAAGCTACAGACGAATACACGTTTCCCTTTATATATATAAATATAATGAATACTTGTTGAAGTGTAAATAGGATTTAAATAAGCAATGTGTTAATGAGCTCTCTGCTTTGACTCTAATGTTAGCATCGCATTTCAGCATTAATCTCAACTTGCCACACTTCGAGGATTGTCTTTTGTGTAGGACGGTAGTGACATTTTTCTCCTTCATTGAGAAGCATGTTTGCTGGAGCAGCTACCTTCAGTGACAAACTGTGTGTGCTGCATAATGCAGGCTGAATTCAGGGAGAGGAACAGTGGCATTTATGGGGAAGATAATTAGCATGGTTGTAAAGAAGCCAGGCCTGATAACTGTGGCACTGGCTGGCCGCTGGCAGTTTGGTGGTGCTCATGGAAGGGCACTTTTTTTGTAGAGCTGATGCTGCTTTAAGAGGAATGGCCCCACCAGCTTCATAGCATCACACAATGGTTGTGTTGGAAGGGACCCTACAGCCCACCCAGTCCCAACCCCAGGTGTGGGCTGGTTGCCCCCACCAGCTCAGGCTGCCCAGGGCACCATCCAGCCTAGCCCTGAGCACCCCCAGGGATGGGGCATCACCAGTGTGCTGCTGATGGACTGGGGAGCAGCACCAAATGCTCCTTGGGCTGTCCAGACCTCTTGTTAGCTGGGGTGTGCAGGCAGAACACTGTGGGGAGGAATCCTGCCCTGTGCTCACACATAAGCACAAGAAATGGCACTGCAGGAGTTGTGCTCGGGTGTGTTCAGAGCTCCCAGGTGGAAAATCAGCACGTCTCTGATACTAAACAGGCCAAAAGCAGGCTACAGCATCTTGTGGGAACTGAATGGCCTTGGTGAGAACAGTGTGGGATCACATCTCACCTCTTGTGTAGAACCTTACACAGATAAATTCACCACGCAGGGGAAAGATGGAGGATCTCCTGCTTGACTTGGCAATGTGATGGTAGAAAATGACTGAGATGCAAGGATCTGGAACTGGAAGAGATGAGCTGAGAAGCAGTTGGCAACATCTGCTTGGTGTACCAAGGTGGTTAAGTGTTTTGGTGCACCAAGGTGGTGAGTTGTTTTTCTGCTTCAGAAGGAGTAGGAAACAATCCGGATCTTGCTACGGGCGTCACTTGAGTTCAGTGGCAGCTGCTTCCCTTTGATTTCAGGCTGACTTTGATGATTTCATCTGGAAAAAGAAGCAAGTCTGGCTCCTCCAGACTTGGAGGGTTCACCCACGAGAAGAGAGAATGAGGGGGTTGCCTTGCGAGAAGGAGATGGCTTTGGTTGTGGTTTCTCAGGGAAGGAGCTGAGTATTTAGCTCATTGACAGACATGATAGACTGGGCAATGGGAGCCATCCTGCCTCCCAGAATTGCTACCCAAGCTGGAATGGAGAGATGCGGGGTGCACCAATGTAGCCTTTAAATAGGAAGAGAGCTCCTCGGAAGGATTGTTTTTAATGAACTAAGCATATGCTTTTTAATGAACATGATAATTTCCCCCGCTTCTAACTGCTAATAACTGGTTCATAAGATGTGGTTATAAATTCATACTTTGTCATCCTATTTCTTTATTTTACTCTTCAAAAAGCAAGATCAGATGTCATGGGATATTGGTTGGAAGTATCTACCATGTTAGTATCGTTAGCATTTGGCATGGTACTGTCTGTTTTAAAACCTGTCCTTTTCCTGTTAGATTTTGTTAATTTGATGGTGAAAACCTTCCAAATTTTTCTGGGATGGTGTGGAAAGCCAATGGTGCTTGATGATGACTGATGGTCAATGGGTGGCAGCTGGGAGCAGCGTGGGGCAGTGGGGACCTGGGTTTTGGCAGGAGGGCTGGGGAAGCTCCTGCTGGGCTTCAACCTGCCTCTGCCCCAGCAGCGTGCTGCAGGCAGCTCCTTCCTTTGGGTTTGAGTCCTGCCATGCTTTTAACCTTCAATTGCAGACACTCGAAGGAAAAACCCAGGCTCTGCTAACCGAATTATCTCCGTGTTTTCATCTGCCATTATGTTAATGCGATGCGAAGCTCAGCAGATGGCACAAAGCAAATTATGCTGGGGAGGGAGTAGGGAGGGAGCCAAATTGACCTTTCCAGGACTTGCTGCTTTTCCACAGCATGGTTTGAAAGCTGAAGTTCTGCATCCTGCTTAAAGTCACATCAGTCAATGCAAAGGCAGACAGAATAGGCACAGAGATGACAACAGATGTTAACCCTCCTTGGCATTGAATGCTCCTGAGCTTAATTTACCTGCACATTTGCTGGAAGAGCCCAGCGTATCCCTCACAGACGCTCTTCCCCGTCCTCAGCACATCCATGGGTTCACACAGCCTCAGGCTTTTGTTATGGAAGCCCACTACGTCGTACTCTGCGGGAAGGAAGACAGCCAAAGTTCATCCCAAGGCCCCAGGCAGCGTGGGGCAGTGCTGGTACTGCTTCCATCTCTGTGAGCACAACCAGGGTGAGTCCAACCCCAGCCCACCCCACCATGCCACTGCTCACGTCCCTCAGTGCCACATCCCCATGGCTCTGAATACCTCCAGGGATGGTGACCCCACCACCTCCCTGGGCAGTTGTGCCAGTGCCTCACTGCTCTTGCAAAATGCAAGCAACCTGCAAATCCAGTTGGCCACCAGCACTCTCTCTGGATGGGAGAGGTTTCCCTTCTTCTTCCTTCCTTCTCTTTACACCTTGGTTACTCCTGAAACTCCAGTGTTGCTTGTTTTGGGGTTTGGGAGTAAGAAGCAAGGGAGACTCATGATGGCAGTTCCCATGGGGTCAGAAGGGTGTTGATATTGGCAGAAACAGCAACCAAACAGGTTTTATGAAAGCTGGCCTCTCTGAGGTCCTGCTCTGATGTGTCCGTCAGAGGAACACCATTAGGAACCTGCTGGAAGCTGGATTCAGGGTAGTAGTGAGGACAAAGCTTCTGGAGGGGCAGAAGGGCTCTGGATGTGACAAGTGACTTCTGGTGCCTGGCAGCCTGTCTTTGTGCTCCAGCTGCTTTGCTGGTGGGACTGCTGTGGTTGCATCCTTCAGTAAATTGTGTAGGGGTGGCAGAGCCATCAGATAGAAAGAAATCACGTGCACACAAACCTTGCGGGGCCTGGAAGTGCTAGGATGGGGAGTGTGGAAGCAGAGGTGGTGGAATAAACTCTGGGTGCATTTCTGGGTAAATCACAGACTATCCTGAGGTGGAAGGGACCCATAAGGATCACTGAGTCCAACCCCTGACCCCATGCAGCACCACCCAAAATCAGATCCTGTGTGTGAGAGTGCTGTCTAGATGCTTCCTAAACTCCAATAGCTCAGTGCCATGAGCACTTCCTTCCACCAACCACCTGCTCTTGTGTGAAGCCACCCACAAAATGCAGAGTAAATTACAACAGTTGCGAAATGGGAGCAGCAGCAGCAGTGTTATCTTCTCAGTGGAAGACCCCAGCCTACCTATGTGGTGGCATATCCACATCCATATGACACGGACTTTCTCCAGGTCAGTCCGGGCTTGTTTAAGCAGGATTTGGACGAGCTCCTCTACGCTGCTCTTGGTGTTCACCTGGTGGAAGAGGAAGCAACAAGGGAAAGGTGACCAATGTCATTTACCTGGACTTGAGCGAGGCCTTTGACATGGTCCCCCACCACATCCTATCTCCAAACTGGCGGGATGTGGATTTGATGGGTGGGCCACTCGATGGACAAGAAACTGGTTGAAAGGC